CTCCCTCCTCTCTCCTTCCTCCCTCTTCCTTACTGTCCCGCTCCCTCCCTTCGTCCCGTCCTCCTTTCCTCCTGCTCCCGTATCTGGCGAAGAAAAGATCTGAATGGACCCTCTGGCGGCGCCTCCGGCGCACTAGGGAGGGAGGGCCACGCGGGGTTTTTGGGCGAAACATTGAAATCACCCCGAGAATGCAACCAAATAGCCAAAGGATGCTTCACACATCGTCCCCAGACTATGGTTTTACTTTTTTCTAATAATCCCCCTGTAGAGGGACAGACCCGGACACACTAGACCCAGACACCCAACATCCCTCGAAACCAATTTTTCCAGACGGCGGCACGCACAAAATACAACACTGCAGAAATTCCAGAATACACCTGGACACAAGCCCCAAACGCCTGCAAGACCCCACCAAACCCGGACACAAACCCGAATCCTGCAGTGCAGCAAACAAAGCATGCACGGGTGCTGAAACATGTGACTTTGCAGGACAGGGTGCCGTTTCCGTGGCTTCCCATGTCACGGTGTGTCTGTGTCCTGGTCTCCGGGGGCCTGATGCCTGACCCTACGGGGCGTGAAAACGACCACAGCCACTGCTTTTTTTTGGTTGCCGCCTTCCAGCACGCAGAAACGAAGCTGTGGCTGTGGTCATTTTCGTTGAGCTTGGCACCAGGGAAATGACCACAAAACCACTGCTTCCTTTTCGGCCGGCCAGAAGGCGGCGCAGACAAGAAGCAGTGGCTGTGGTCATTTCCCCGTCCCGCCTGACCCGGCCCCCCCCGCCCGGGCAAGGACCCCCGCCGACGCCGAGCCCGACCGCCCCAGCTTAAATGGGGCCCGTCCGCCCCGGTGCCCGAGGTCGCCCGCCCACGCAGGGAGAAGGACGAGAAGGACTACCCTCAAGCTTCCCCAGGGACACGCACATAAGCAGACCCACACATATCGCAGGGTGCCCCTCCCAGATCTTCTGGGTGTTCGTCTGCCCCACCACTTCCCATCTCTTCCGCATGACCCGGCCCCCCCGCCCGCGGAAGCACCCCCGCCGACGCCGAGCCCCACCGCCCCAGCTTAAGCAGTGGGGCCCGTCCGCCCCGGCGCGCCCGCCGCCCGTGCTGCAACTGCCCGCCCGAGCTCGCCCGAGGTCGCCCGCCCGCGCAGGGGAGAGGGGCGAGAAGGACTGCCCTCAAGCTTCCCCAGGGACACGCACAGAAGCAGACCCACACATCGCAGGATGCCCCTCCCAGATCTGACCATCCCTGTGCCTCTGCACATGGAGGCACCCTGAGCCCAGAGGGCTACGGGAAGGGGGCAAGGGAACGGAGGAGCCCGAAGGGAGGGGAAGGGAGGGAGCCCCGGGGCCCCGAGAGGGGAGACACGGGGACAGCCCGCCCGCGCAGGGAGAAGGACGAGAAGGACTACCCTAAAGCTTCCCCAGGGACACGCACATAAGCAGACCCACACATATCGCAGGGTGCCCCTCCCAGATCTTCTGGGTGTTCGTCTGCCCCACCACTTCCCATCTCTTCCGCATGACCCGGCCCCCCCGCCCGGGGAAGCACCCCCGCCGACGCCGAGCCCCACCGCCCCAGCTTAAGCAGTGGGGCCCGTCCGCCCCGGCGCGCCCGCCGCCCGTGCTGCAACTGCCCGCCCGAGCTCGCCCGAGGTCGCCCGCCCGCGCAGGGGAGAGGGACGAGAAGGACTGCCCTCAAGCTTCCCCAGGGACACGCACAGAAGCAGACCCACACATCGCAGGATGCCCCTCCCAGATCTGACCATCCCTGTGCCTCTGCACATGGAGGCACCCTGAGCCCAGAGGGCTACGGGAAGGGGGCAAGGGAACGGAGGAGCCCGAAGGGAGGGGAAGGGAGGGAGCCCCGGGGCCCCGAGAGGGGAGACACGGGGACAGCCCGCCCGCGCAGGGAGAAGGACGAGAAGGGACTACCCTAAAGCTTCCCCAGGGACACGCACATAAGCAGACCCACACATATCGCAGGGTGCCCCTCCCAGATCTTCTGGGTGTTCGTCTGCCCCACCACTTCCCATCTCTTCCGCATGACCCGGCCCCACCCGCCCGCGGAAGCACCCCCGCCGACGCCGAGCCCCACCGCCCCAGCTTAAGCAGTGGGGCCCGTCCGCCCCGGCGCGCCCGCCGCCCGTGCTGCAACTGCCCGCCCGAGCTCGCCCGAGGTCGCCCGCCCGCGCAGGGGAGAGGGACGAGAAGGACTGCCCTCAAGCTTCCCAGGGACACGCACAGAAGCAGACCCACACATCGCAGGATGCCCCTCCCAGATCTGACCATCCCTGTGCCTCTGCACATGGAGGCACCCTGAGCCCAGAGGGCTACGGGAAGGGGGCAAGGGAACGGAGGAGCCCGAAGGGAGGGGAAGGGAGGGAGCCCCGGGGCCCCGAGAGGGGAGACACGGGGACAGCCCGCCCGCGCAGGGAGAAGGACGAGAAGGACTACCCTAAAGCTTCCCCAGGGACACGCACATAAACAGACCCACACATATCGCAGGGTGCCCCTCCCAGATCTTCTGGGTGTTCGTCTGCCCCACCACTTCCCATCTCTTCCGCATGACCCGGCCCACCCGCCCGGGGAAGCACCCCCGCCGACGCCGAGCCCCACCGCCCCAGCTTAAGCAGTGGGGCCCGTCCGCCCCGGCGCGCCCGCCGCCCGTGCTGCAACTGCCCGCCCGAGCTCGCCCGAGGTCGCCCGCCCGCGCAGGGGAGAGGGACGAGAAGGACTGCCCTCAAGCTTCCGCAGGGACACGCACAGAAGCAGACCCACACATCGCAGGATGCCCCTCCCAGATCTGACCATCCCTGTGCCTCTGCACATGGAGGCACCCTGAGCCCAGAGGGCTACGGGAAGGGGGCAAGGGAACGGAGGAGCCCGAAGGGAGGGGAAGGGAGGGAGCCCCGGGGCCCCGAGAGGGGAGACACGGGGACAGCCCGCCCGCGCAGGGAGAAGGACGAGAAGGACTACCCTAAAGCTTCCCCAGGGACACGCACATAAACAGACCCACACATATCGCAGGGTGCCCCTCCCAGGTCTTCTGGGTGTTCGTCTGCCCCACCACTTCCCATCTCTTCCCGCACCTTTCTCCTGGGGATAGCCGGTTCTTTGTGTGTGTGTGTGTGTGTGTGTGTGTGTGATTTTTCCCCCAGATCCCCCCTGAACATCCATGTGCCTCTGCACATGGAGGCACCCTGAGCCCAGAGGGCCACGGGAGGGGGGCAGGGGAACGGAGGAGCCCGCAGGGAGGGGAAGGGAGGGAGCCCCCCGGGACCCCGAGAGGGGGGACACTGGGACAGCCCGCCCACGCAGGGAGACTGAAGGGGCCCTGGGACACACAAATAAATACACACAAATAAAAAGACCCCTTCTATTTTATCAGATTTTCTGGGTTTTTGTCTTCCCCCCACTTCCCATATTTTCCCCTATTTTCGGGGGAATCGACGATTCATTGTGTCTGTGTGTTTTTCCCTCCTGAGAGAAGGACGAGAAGGACTACCATAAAGGGCCCAGGGACGCGCACGCAAACAGACCCACACATCGCAGGAGGCCCCATGTACTCTTCCAGATCTGCTGGAGGTTCGTCTGCCCCACCGCTTCCCGCATCATCCCACACTTGTCTCGTAGGAATCGCTGGTTCTGTGTGTGTGTGTGTGTGTGTGTGTGTGTGTGATTTTTCCTCCTGACCCCCCCTTCCCCATCATGTTTTGGGCCTCTTTTCAACTTACGCCCCTGCTCAGAGTTGACACAGCTTTGGGCATCGAGAACGGACTTCACTCGAAGCGTTTTCTTAACCAGTAGTCCAGGTCCACAGATACGCTCTACGAACGAAAAGAGACTCCAAGAAAACGCCCAGGGTCCAGTCTAGCCTCGTTGTTGTTTTCCGAGGCGAAATCTGGAGTCCACGAACAAATTCTCATGGGTGTCAGTCCTTCATCCCTTCGTCCCGTCCTCCCCTCCCCCTGTCCTTCGCTCCTCCCTCGCCCCTCCCCCCTCCTGCCCGAGCGCGGCTCTGCCCCGGCCTGGCCTGGCCGTCTCCGCACAGCAAAAGGCCCCGCCTCCGGCAGATCCGTCCCAGTCCGCGACCCGTCCGAAGGAGTGCGTCCAGAAAGGGTTCGGCGGCACGCACAGGGTGGGCAGTGGAAGGGGGGAAAGCTTCTTAGAAGGAGGCTGCTCCTCAGAAGGCGCCGGCCTCACATCTAGAAGAAGACAAAGCACCGTAAGCCTAAACTTTTGGCGCTCCGCGCGGATTTCTCGGATCTGCGCTGGGCCCCCCTCCGCAGCGCGTGGAGCGCGCCAGGGGCGGCGCCAGAGGCGCCGCCAGGGGGGCCAGGCGCAGATCCACGAGATCCGCGCGGGGCGCCAATAGTTTATGCTTACGGTGTCTTTTCTTCTCCGAACATCTACAGACAAGGCCCGCGCCTTCTAAGACGCAGTGGTGCTGCTAAGAAGCCCTCCCCCCTCTCCCTACCCCCTTCTGCGCGTGGCCGAGGGGTGCGGTCGAAAGCTGCTGCGCTGCTACCGTGCGTCCTTCGTGTGCGCGCTGACTGTATACTACAATGTTTTCTACTATCTGTTCGACAGTCGGGCGTGCGCCTCCAACAGAGGCACAGCGTACTACGGTGTGTCCTTGTGCGTGCCACGAGGCCTGCTCGCAGGCCGCCCACCGGCTGCCCGAGTTCAACTCGCAGGGCGCCCCTGGGCGTGGCCCTCAAGTCGGCGGCGAGCCCGGGGGGGCGGTGAGAAGGGGCGGGCCTTCTCAGAAGGCTCGGAAGAGTTCCGTTTTTTTTGAGCGGAGTTGTTTAAATTCTCCCCCGAGGACGCAGAAAACATCCCAGGAGGCGCGAGAGCTTCTGAGAAGTCCCGCCGCCGCCTTCCGAGGAGGCCTTCTCCTTCTCACTTCCCCCCCCTCGCTCGCCGCCGACACCGACTATGCTCATGATGACGAGGACGATGGCGACGATGCTCATGACGATGATGATTATGTGCGGACGTCCGAGGGGTATGCTCGTGTGCGGTCGTGGCGCCCTCTGATACTCGGGGCGGCCCCACGGGCCGTCGCCAGTCCGCGCCGTGTCTACTCTGGGCCTGCCCGCCCCAAGGCCATGCCCTTCAAGGCCCAGGCAACACAGTGGAGGGTCGCGAACCTATGGGGGGGCCGACCTCTCCTACTGGGGAGGTGGGCCAGTAGGACCGACAGGACACCCCACCCGCTCCCTAGGACCACCCAGGAAGTGCCCCCCTTCCCCCCAAGACTCTGCGATCGTGAATGCTCCTTCCTCCCTCTTGATCCCCGATATCCTTAAGTCGGGCGTGTCCCCCTACAGGGGGATTGTGGGCAAAAAATTAAAAATACTAAAAAATACCGCCCCAATCGGCAAAAATAGAAAAAAACAGCGTCCCCTGTTTTTTTATATAACTATTTTTGAATATTCCTCCTGTAGAGGGAAGAGGGACAGGCCCGACTTAAGGATATCCTCGGGAAGAGGTGGCCAACCCCCTGGCGACGACACCCCCCCGCCGCCGAGACGTGCGCGAAGGACAGCCGGGGCCGGCACGCGGGGGCGGATCCCAACTGATACCCGGGGCGGCCTCGCGAGCCGCCGCCAGCCCGCGCCGGCCCCTCTCGAGGCCCACCCGCCCGAAGGCCATGTCCCGAGGCCAAGGCAGGGCCAACGGCGATGCTGCGCAACGGTGATGTGGGGAAACCAAAAGAGTGCAGGAAATCACGGGCCACACTTTCCTGTACTTCCCGTCTGCGAGTGGATCGAGCGAGCACGACGCAGCGAACTGTGGGAAAGCGCGAGCCGCGCGTTCCCACACTACCGAAACCTACATCGCCATTGCCTGCATCGCCATCAGCCCTCTACGGCGAGGCCCCCCAGATGGGGCCGAAGCAGATGGGGTCGGAGCATCGCGCCGCACCGCGGCTGCATCGTCGACGGCGGGATGGAGAATGACGGGCTGCAGATCGCGCCTTATCGCCGACGCATCCGCGACGCGGCGCGACCCTCCCTCCGGCCCCAGTTGTGAGGACTGCAGTGCCCCTGAGATCCGACGCTGCGGAAAAATCACAGCAGCCCCAACAACAATCACGGCCGGAGCCCTATAGACCCCACCCTTCTGCGCCATTTTCAGGCCGGATCAATCCGTGGGGGCCCCAGGGCGCGAAACCCAGACCCCCGACATCAGGATTTTTCATATCGTCGACCCCCAAATGTCTCGACCCCTTCCCGGGGGCCAGCTTCGCATCCTGAGTCCTTTCTTTTGCCGGTCCCGAGGCCGGTTAAGGCCGAAAACGACGCGAAGCCTTCCGTCATGCTTTGCTCATGACCCGAGGGGGTCTGGGTTCCCGAGCACGGTCCTACCTTCAGGGCCCCGTAGACCCGGACACACTAGACCCAGACACCCAACATCTCTCGAAACCAATTTTTCCAGACGGCGGCACGCACAAAATACAACACTGCAGAAATTCCAGAATACACCTGGACACAAGCCCCAAACGCCTGCAAGACCCCACCAAATCCAGACACAAACCCGAATCCTGCAGTGCAGCAAACAAAACATGCACGGGTGCTGAAACATGTGACTTTGCAGGACAGGGTGCCGTTTCCGTGGCTCCCCATGTCATGGTGTGTCTGTGTCCTGGTCTCCGGGGGCCTGATGCCTGACCCTACGGGGCGTGAAACCGACCACAGCCACTGCTTTCTTTTTGGTTGCCGCCTTCCAGCACGCAGAAACGAAGCTGTGGCTGTGGTCACTTCCGTTGAGCCTGGCACCAGGGAAACGACCACAAAACCACCGCTTCTCTTTCGGCCGGCCCGAAGGCGGCGCAGACGAGAAGCAGTGGCTGTGGTCATTTCCCCGTCCCGCCTGACCCGGCCCCCCCGCCCGGGCAAGGACCCCCGCCGACGCGGGGATTTTGGGCGAAAAACTGAAATCACCCCCAGAATGCAACCACACAGCCAAAAAATGCTCACACATCGTCCCCAGACAATGGCTTTACTTTCTTTGAATAATCCCCCTCTAGAGGGACAGGCCCGATGTAATTCTACCTGACCCGGCCCCCCCGCCCGTCCGCCCCAGCGCGCCCCCCGCCCCCGCCCCCAGCTTAAATGTGTCCTGGTCTCCGGGGGCCTGATGCCTGACCCGGCCCCCCCGCCCGGGTAAGGACCCCCGCCGACGCCGAGCCCCACCGCCCCAGCTCATAGAAGTGGGGCCCGTCCGCCCCGGCGCGCCCGCCGCCCGTGCTGCAACTGCCCGCCCGAGCTCGCCCGGGGTCGCCCGCCCGCGCAGGGGAGAGGGACGAGAAGGACTGCCCTCAAGCTTCCGCAGGGACACGCACAGAAGCAGACCCACACATCGCAGGATGCCCCTCCCAGATCTGACCATCCCTGTGCCTCTGCACATGGAGGCACCCTGAGCCCAGAGGGCTACGGGAAGGGGGCAAGGGAACGGAGGAGCCCGAAGGGAGGGGAAGGGAGGGAGCCCCGGGGCCCCGAGAGGGGAGACACGGGGACAGCCCGCCCGCGCAGGGAGAAGGACGAGAAGGACTACCCTAAAGCTTCCCCAGGGACACGCACATAAACAGACCCACACATATCGCAGGGTGCCCCTCCCAGGTCTTCTGGGTGTTCGTCTGCCCCACCACTTCCCATCTCTTCCGCATGACCCGGCCCACCCGCCCGGGGAAGCACCCCCGCCGACGCCGAGCCCCACCGCCCCAGCTTAAGCAGTGGGGCCCGTCCGCCCCGGCGCGCCCGCCGCCCGTGCTGCAACTGCCCGCCCGAGCTCGCCCGAGGTCGCCCGCCCGCGCAGGGGAGAGGGACGAGAAGGACTGCCCTCAAGCTTCCCCAGGGACACGCACAGAAGCAGACCCACACATCGCAGGATGCCCCTCCCAGATCTGACCATCCCTGTGCCTCTGCACATGGAGGCACCCTGAGCCCAGAGGGCTACGGGAAGGGGGCAAGGGAACGGAGGAGCCCGAAGGGAGGGGAAGGGAGGGAGCCCCGGGGCCCCGAGAGGGGAGACACGGGGAGGTCGCCCGCCCACGCAGGGAGAAGGACGAGAAGGACTACCCTAAAGCTTCCCCAGGGACACGCACATAAGCAGACCCACACATATCGCAGGGTGCCCCTCCCAGATCTTCTGGGTGTTCGTCTGCCCCACCACTTCCCATCTCTTCCGCATGACCCGGCCCACCCGCCCGGGGAAGCACCCCCGCCGACGCCGAGCCCGACCGCCCAGCTTAAGCAGTGGGGCCCGTCCGCCCCGGCGCGCCCGCCGCCCGTGCTGCAACTGCCCGCCCGAGCTCGCCCGGGGTCGCCCGCCCGCGCGGGGAGAGGGACGAGGAGGACTGCCCTCCTCCTCCTCCCCCTCCTCCTCCTCCTCCTCCTCCTCCTCCCCCTCCTCCTCCTCCTCCTCCTCCTCCTCCTCCTCCTCTTCCTCCTCCTCCTCCTCCTCCTCCTCCTCCTCCTCGTCCAAGCAACGGAGGCAACCATACGTCGGCGGACATCGTGGACGACACGAGGGCCGACCATAAGCCGTAAAGCTTCCCCAGGCACACGCACATGAACAGACCCACACGTATCGCAGGGTGCCCCTCCCAGATCTCGGGGTGTTCGTCGGCCCCACCACTTCCCATCTCCTCCCACACCTTTCTCCTGGGGGTAGCCGGTTCTTTGTGTGTGTGTGTGTGTGATTTTTCTTCCTGACCCCCCTTTCCCCATCATGTTTTGGGCCTCTTTTTAACTCATACCCCTTCTCAGAGGGAAAACAATTTTGGGCATCGAAAACGGACTTCCCTCGGAAAGGGGGCCCAGGGACACGCCCACAAACAGACCCGAGGGTGTCTGGGAACAAGACAGACTCGCCCGGCGTGACAAAACTGCAGCACCCAGATCTCGGGGATGTGATGGGCCTGTTTTCCACCACCACCACCATAAGTTGGAGGGGGAGGGGGTCCTCCTCCTCCCCCTCCCCCTCCTCCTCCTCCTCCTCCCTCCTCCTCCTCCTCCTCCTCCTCCTCTTCGTCCTCCTCCTCCTCCTCCTCCTCCTCCTCCTCCTCCTTCCCCCCCTCCAGCTTATGGTGGTGGTGGTGGTGGAAAAGAGGCCCGTGGGGATGTCCTTCGGGCTCGCCTGCCTGCGGGCCATGCCCTCCGGGGCGGCCAGGCCCTGCACGCCGTGCCGACCGGGGCACGCCCCAAACGGGGGGGCGCGGCGCCCCGGGCCTGCGGGGCGCGCGCCTCACGAGCTGTCGCTGTCCGCGCCGTGCCTGTCGAGGCCGGCCTGCCTGAGGGCCATGTCCTCGTGGAGGCCAGCACCCCCGCGGTCGTCGCCGCCGTCGTCGCCGTCGCCGTCGCCGTCGCCGTCGCCGTCGCCGTCGTCGCCGTCGTCGTCGTCGCCGTCGTCGTCGTCTTTCGCCGTCCTCCCCCCGCCCCTTCCTCCTCCTCCTCCTCCTCCTCATCATCCTCCTTCATCCATCCTCCTCGTCCGGCTCTCCTCCTCCCGCTCTTCTTCTCCCGCTCTGCTCGTCTTCGTCGTCGTCGTCCTCCTCCTCCATAAATTTCCCTGCTAGATAACTCCTCCCTGTCGCGCCCCCCAGATGTGTGGGTAGCGTGCACCGTCTATGATCCTGAGGCTTGAAACTTGCAGCGAATACAACGATGGTGGGCTTGTTTTCAAAATGGGGCTCTCGCGTAGCGACGCGCCTATACGTCTTTAACCTTGCAGCAGATACAAGGATGGAGAGGGGAGCGTTCTTTTCAACAGAAAGCTCTCGCCTGAGCGCCGCGCACATTCGTCTTAAATGTTTGCAGCACTTGCAATCATTTAGAAGCGTCTATTTTTCAATACGGAACTCTCGCCTGCGCGCCGTGCACGTTCAACGAACACTGCAACAAAGACTGAACACAGGTCGTTTTCAAGACGGGGCTCTCGCCTTAGCGGCGCACTGATTCGTTTGGAGAATTGGCGGCAATGCCGTTTTCAGAATGGGGCTCTCGCCCTAGCGCCGCGCTGGTTCGTCCTGAGAGTCTGCAGCAGCCGCACAGATAAAGGACCTCTCCTCTCTAAAGTTGGGCTCTCGACTGAGCACGGCGCACGCGTGCCCTGCAGGTCTGCCGCAGCGACGGAGGACGGCTTCTTCTTCGAGAGGCGGCCCTCGCTTGCAGGCGCACGCGAAGCCAGAAGCCAAGGAGCTCTGGCCAACGCGGCAGCTGCGCGGGTGGAGGGCGGCTCCCTCTCGGAGAGGGCCTCTCGCCCGAGGCGTCCCCGGGGCAGTCGTGGCCAACGGCGTGAGCCTGCGTGTGCAGTCGCGGCACGGACGGGGTGGCCCTGGTTCAAAACAGGGACATCGCTGGGCACCTCTCTGCGCCGCATGATCACACGGGCACATGCGTACATACATACGCACATGCGTACATACGTACACACACACATACAAATACACATGTATGCATGCACACATGCATGCAGCATGCATACGTACACGCATACACACATACACACATACATACATACATGCATACATACATACATACATACATCCGTACACACATACATACAAACATGCAACCACATACATACACACATACAACCACACACATGCATACATACGTTCATGCCTATCTACCTACATACCCACATACGTGCGTGCGTACATACATAGATACGTACGTACAGACATGCATACATACCTACACATAGCTATTTGCATGCACGTCTGTATACATATATATATGTATATATATATATGTATATATACATACATGCATACATACATATATATATACACGTGTATATTTCGATGTATGGCCAGAAGCGTACTTACACACATATAGATATACACATATAGATATACACGTGCGAGGGGGTGGGGGCTGGGACGGGAGGGCGCACTGCAGCATCGTTGCCCTGTATCTCCTCCTCCTCCTCCTCCTCCTCCTCCTCCTCTCTCCTCCTCCTCCTCCTCTTCCTCCCCCTCCTCCTCCTCCTCCTCCTCCCACCTTTTGGGGGAATAATGGGATGGAGGACGAGGGGGCGGGGACTTCCATGCGGAGGGGACCTGGGACGGGAGGACGCATTGCAGCATCGTTGGCACATTTTGGAAGCGTCTTTTCAATTCGGCGTTTCGACATTGGGCGGAAAGGGGGGGGAGAGGGGGAGGGGGGGTCTGGCTCCCGACCTCTGCTAAGTGCGGCTGTTTGCGACAGTGCGTCCTGTGGGGGAGGGGCTCCACCTGCTCGAAACAGGAGCCAAAAACAGCCAGGATCTACTCTTAGGTCGGGCGTGCCCCCCTACAGGGGGATTTTGGGCGAACAGTAAAACATACACCAAAAATCCCCCCAATAGCTAAAACATGCTCAACACATCGTCCCCAAACTATTTCTAGAGTATTTTTGAAGATTCCTCCTGTAGAGGGACAAGCCCGACTTAAATCTACTCCATGGTGGGAGGGGGGAGGGGGGAGGAGGGGGGTGCGAGGGCCCGCGCTGATCGGCAAAACGACGAACAAAAAACGATCGCATTGCAGCATCGTGGGCACATCTTGGATTTACTCTCTCTGTTTCTCCTCCTCCTTTTCCCTTTCCTCCTCCTTCTCCTCCTTCTCCTCCTCCTCCTCCTCCTCCTCCCCCCACTCCCCCCACCTTTTGGGGGATAGTGGGGTCGAGGACGAGGAGGCAGGATGGTTAAAGTGGGCCTGTGCAAGCTTTTGGGAACTGTGCAATCTTGTCGAAAGGATTCAGAAAGGGCCTCAGGAGGGCTCCAAGAAGGATCCCAGAGAGGGGGGAAAGGGGCATTGGGAGGATGAGGGGGTCTTGGAAGGCTCGCGAAGGCTCTGAAATCCCCTCCCGGGAATCTCGGATGCTTCCGGAGGACCACTCACGCTTCGGCAAAATCGGTCCCTGGACCCCGCGTCTGGGGTCCAGACGCACCAAATTTCTGAGCTGCGCCCAGCCGTGGCGACGAGGGCCCCCCGGATGCCAACTACCATTGTCTCCATTCGCCCTCCTCTGACGCACGATTGAAAGACAGGCCTCCAGAGCGGGGGCAGGAGGCGGATGCCGAAGCTCAGCCGCCATCGACGTTTGGCTTCCCTGCCGTCCGCGGCACCGTCGGGCAGCTTCTTCGCGGCCCGGCGGGCCTGGTCGGGGAATCTCCTGCACCCCTCCTCGAAGAAGGCCGCGCAGCTGCGCAGGACCTCCTCCAGCGGGGTGGGCTGGAAGCCGTAGACCTCCTCAGACAAGTAACAAGAAGACAGAAATATATGTTGACGGAGCTCGGCGACGAATTCTTGGATCGGGGCTGGACCCCCTTGGCGGCGCCTCCGCCGCCGCCCCTGGCGCGCGGAGCGCGCCAGGGAGGGGGGCCAGCGACAATCCAGGACATTTTCGCGGAGCTCCGACAGTTGACAGCCAAGCTGCTGCAATAAGGAAGGACGCCCCTTTTTGGTACCAAGAAAGCTTGGGTGCACGAGGAGGGCTTTAGACACAAACGCGGAATCCGCCGACCCCTTGTGGGTCTCCAGGCGTGTGAGATTGCTCCCGCCCATCATCCCCTCTCCCCAGGGACCCCAAACTGGCAACTTGACCCCCCCTGGTCCGCGACGAGCGCGTCGTGTGTGGATAGAGGGCTCCAAAACGGGCCAAGAGGATCCCAAGAGGCTCCCAAGACTGTCTAAGAGGTCACCGAGTCGCTGCAAGATCGTTCTAAGATGCTCAAAATGGCCTCCAGACGGCCCAATATGCCCCCGAGACAACTCCAAGACTGCCCCGAGAAAATGTCTGAAATATTCTGGCGTTCTCGCCTTTTCCGTTTCCCGACGCTCCGAAGCGGCCACCAAACGGCCCAAGAGGGCCCCGAGACGGCCCAAGTGGCCTCCAAGACGGTCCAAGACGCCTCCAAGATGGCTCCAAGAGGGGGCCCAGACGGGGACACCAACGGACATCTTGAGCTCCCGGCCAGGAGACGCTCCCGGGAGGCCCCCAAGAAGCCCCAAGGGGCCTCCAAGAGGCTCCAAACTATGCCTCCGAGCAACTCTCCACCGGCCCCCAAACCACCCCCCCCACCCACCCCCAAAACTGTCCCCAAGAAGCTCCCCCCCCCCCCCCCCCCAAAAACTGTCCCCAAACCTGCCCCCCCTCCCCCAAAACTGCCCCCAAGAAGCTCCCCAGTGGCCCCCAAACTGCCCGCCCCCCCCCACAGGCCCGCGAGGGCGCTGCGAACCCTGAGGAGGAGGAGGAGGAGGAGGAGGAGGAGGAGGAGGAGGAGGAGGAGGGGAGGAGGAGGAGGAGGAGGAGGAGGAGGAGGAGGAGGAGGGAGGAGGAGGAGGAGGAGGAGGAGGAGGAGGAGGGGAGGATGAGGATCAGGAAGAGGAGGAGGAGGAGGAGGAGGAGGAGGAGGAGGAGAGGAGGAAGGAGGAGGAGGAGGTGGAGGAGGAGGAGGTGGAGGAGGAGGAGGCGGGAGGAGGAGGAGGAAGAGGAGGAGGAGAAGGACAAGCTAGGTGCGCTCGCGTCATATCTGACGTCCTACCCCTCCCTCCCATCCCTTACCATGGCGCTGATTTTCTCTATCCGCGGACGCGTGTCGTAGCGGACCTGTGGCTCCGCGCGCGCGTGCGTAGTGGGTGGTGGTGCACGTGCGTGCGTGCGTGCGTGCGTGTGTGCGTGGTTGTGGTGGTGGTGGTGGGTGGTGGTGGTGGTGGTGGTGGTGGTGGTGCTGGTGCTCGTGCTGGTGGTGGTGCTGGTGCTGGTGGTGGTTGTGATGGTGGTGGTGGTGGTGGTGGTGGTGGTGGTGGTGGTGCTGGTGGTGGTGGTGGTGGTGGTGGTGCGGCGCGGTGGTGGCGGGCGGATGGGCGCGCGAGAAAGAGGCCCGCGCTGGGGCGAGAACGCCATCCTGAACGACGGAGGCCAAACACCGATCCGAAAATGAGGCCCACGCTACAGCGGGAGCACGATTCGGAACGATTCGGGAGCAGAAATGAGGCCGGCGCCTCAGCGAGAACATCATTAAACAAAAAAACGCAGGCGAAAACCCGTTTCCCGGGAATCCTGTGTAAAAAACAATACGCGGGGGGCGTTCGGCCCGAACTTGACGCCGGCGCCTCAGCGAGAGTCGTTTCCCGGGATTTCCCGGGAATCCTGTGTGTAAAAAAACAGTACGCGGAGGGTGCGCGGCCATCACCCGGACGCCATCAGGGGAAGAGGGAGAGTATTTTCATATTGAGTAATTGTGGAGGAGGAGGAGGAGGGGGAGGAGGAGGCCAGACTTCAGGATGGCCCTGTTGGCTTACCACAGGTGTGCTTGGCGTGTGCCAGACTTCAGGATGGTCTGTCGGGGGCGCGCAAACATGGATTAGCGATCCATGGATCTGGCGCGTGGTCGCCAAATCCATGGATCGGGGGAGGCGCCCTCCCCAAAATGCGGCCTGTGCCGCCTCGCTCGGCGGCGGACATCCTCGATTTCCCATGGAAGCGGGACCCGTCGCTAATCCACGCCCCCCTAATCCATGTTTGCGATCGCCTGAATATCCGCCGCCCCCTGTTGGCTTGCCACAGGTGTGCCTGGCGTGTGCCAGACTTCAAGATGGTCTTGGTTCTTTAAGAACTCCCCCTGGGGCTTCGGCCTAGCGCGCCGGCCACGCGGAAGGGAGCGGAAACAACCTCAGCGTCCGGAACATATCCCCCGAGTCGGCTCAAGATGGCCTCTCTGACGGCCAAGATGTCTCAAGATGGCCTCCAAAATGACTCCAAAACGGCCCAGATGGCCTTAAGAGACTCTAACATGGCCCCAAGATTCACCCACGACGGCCCAATATGGCCTCAAGACGGCCTACGACGGCCCAAAAGGTCCGCAAGAGGCCCCCAAGAGGCCTCCAAGACGGCCCAAGAGGCCCCCAAGAGGGCCTCCAGGAAGGCCCGATGAGGCCAACATCATACATTTTCTTTTCGGCCTTCCGACGGTCCGAGACGGCCCAGGAGCCCCCAAAGATCGCTCCAATATCGCCCAAGATGTCTTCAAGATGGTCTCAGAACGGCCCAAGAGGCCCCCAAGACAGCCTCAAGAGGGCCCCGAGACGACCGAAGAGACCCCCAAGACGCCCAAGATGGCCTCCAAGACGGCCCTGGAGCACCCCAAGAGGGACCCAGGTCGGCCCAGAGAAGCCCCCAAGACGGCTTCCGACGGCTCAGAGGCTCACAAGATGCCCCCTCCTCCTCCTCCTCCTCCTCCTCCTCCTCCTCCTCCTCCTCCTCGGCGGATGTGACGTGAGCCTGTAAAATCCACGTCCTGAAGGAACGTGCTGAGCGGCAGCGTTTTCCGCAGATGGTGTAATGCAGTGTGTCCAAACATAATTTAGATCATCATGTAACCCCCCTTACCCCACCCAGAGGCCACGCCACTTCAGTCGACCCAGAAATGGAGGATCCCTTCTAGGCCTCCAAACCTGAAAAACACCGATGGAAAATATATGATCCGGGCCCGTTCGGCCTTGTGGGGTCTAAGAGGGTACCAAGACGGCTCAAGATGGCGTCAGTAAGTGCCAAGACGGCCCCTAGACAGTCCAAGATGGTCCCAAGAGGGCCCAAAAAGCTTCCAAAGACGCTTCAAGTGAGCTCTCAGAGGGCCCCCGAGAGCGCCTCCAGAACTTTCCTCAGGTTTTTGAGGAAGTTCAGCGTTCTCGCCTCTTCCGATTCTCAGAAGCTCATGACGGGCCAAGCAGCCTCTAATACTGCCCCAAGGCTGCCCCAGAAACCCCCAAGAGGGCCCCAAGACGGCCACAGATGGCCCTAAGACGGCCCAAAGAGGCCCCCAAGACGGTCCAAGAGGCCCCCAAGACGGCCAAAGAGGACCCCAAGAGAGCCCCAAGGCGGCCGCGAGAGGCCCACAGGACCGCTTCCGGAGTGGCCAAACAGCGCAAGAGCCCCCTGAGACGCCCCAAGGCGCCTCCAAGAGGCCCCGAAGAAGCCGCCAAGAGGCCCCAAGAGGCCCCCAAGGAGGCCCCAAAGAGGTCCCCACCAGGCCCCGCAGCGACCGGACTGGACGTGCTCTGGACGTGCACCCCGCGGAGCGCGAGGACGCACCTGAGGAACAGCGCGCCCCTCCCGAATCCAGAGCGGTCCTTCCTTTCAGAGTCTTGACCGAGGGCGACGGGTTCTGGACACGTCCACTGCCCAGGCCTGGCCCCTCCTGGGCCGAGGGGGCGCCCCGCCCGAATCCGGAGCGGTCCTTCCTTCAGAGTCTTGACCGAGGGCGACGGGTTCTGGACACGTCCACTGCCCAGGCCTGGCCCCTCCTGGGCCGAGGGGGCGCTGTACAATGCGGGATGATGATTACTTGAAAATGGGGGAGAACGATTCAACAAATAGTTATCTGATTTCTGCACAATGTTCTGACTGAAGGAAAATGAATAAAGAATGTCGTGTTCAAAATAATTTCGCAACAAAAAAATAAACCCTAATTGCGCCGTCCAGGCTTGGCTGCCCAGCACGGGCCAGGCCTCGGGCGGCGGGCGTGTGCAGGTCGGGCCGGGCGAAAGGGGGGGGGATAGCAAAGGTGGGGGACTTGAGAATCAGCTCGCGTGGCTGATTTTCCCAGCGCCTCCCGGCGCCGGGAGGCGCCCATGTATCGAGGAGTGGGCCCGGCGGCGGGGCCGAAACCAGCTGCACGCAGCAGATTCCGTACCCCCTCCGCCTCGACTCCCCGCCTCCGAAAACAAGCGTTAGTTGCATAACATTTTCATCGCATGTCGCCGGTCAGATGAGGCCATCTTGAGCCAACTTGGACCATATTGCGCCATCTTGGAGGCCATCTCAAAGCACTTGTGGCCTCTCGGCACCAGAGGGCGCGCGCAAGGGATGGCCCCCAAGTGCGGTCTCTGTCCACGCCGGGCTCGGGCGTGTCAGGCGTGGCTCGTTCGCAACCCAGACAGGGTGCGCGGTGCGCAGGGAGTGGTCCCTGAGCGCAGTCTCTATCCACGCTGGGGTCGCAGGGCGTGGCAGGCGTGGCCTGGCGCCATCCCCCCTTTCGTCCGGCCCGATATAGACTTCGCTCACTGGCTGCTCGCTCTTGCACCTTTTCTTCCTCGACTCCTGGGCCCGCCGGACGTCCAGCGGCCACGGCCGGTCGACGCTGGGCAGGTACGTCTTCGGGCTCTTCACGGGCGCCAAGCGCGGCCGCTTCCGCGGCACCGTGGAGGCGTCCGACAGCAGCTGCAGCACCCCGCTGAGGGGCACCTGCTGCTCGCAGCACAGGTTCACCGCGTCCGCCCTCTGCGCGCAGGGGGTCGACTGCAGAATTGGTCTGCCCCAGAGACTTGACTTGTCTTGTCGAATCCACGGGCAATTCGTAGAGAACTTGCGCAGATCTACGAACGGTTGACGTATTTTTGTTGAAGGGTCGACGTGAGGGTCAATTTTGGGGTACATCGGTTCTGTAGTCGATCCCCGAGTCGACCTCTGGCCCTGCGGCGGCGGGCGGTCCAGGAGCGAAGCCATGAACCGGGCCACGTCCTGGCTGAAGACCAGCGCCAGGGGCGGGTCCGGGTCGACCTCGGAGGGGACGCCGCTGGGGTCCTCCTTCTCCCGAGGGAGGAGAGCGGCACAGGCAGAACCGTCGGGAGGTCCGCGCGGACTCCTCGGATCGGCACTGGGGCCCCCTCCCCGGCGCGCGGGCCGCGCCAGGGGCGGCCGCGGCGGGTGCCCGGCGCCGATCCCAGAGATCCGCGCGGAGCTCCGAAAGCTCATGCCTGTGCAGTCTTCCCTTCGTCGGTGCCTTCTTGCGCTTGTAGGCCTGGACCTGCGGGGGCGGGGCTCCCACGTCCCCCGCCCGCAGCCAGTGCCAGTACGCCCAGAGCCGCAGCGTGCCGTCGTAGGGCCCTATGACGTCGGGTAGCCGCAGGAAGACCAGCTGGCAATCGCTGTCCTGGGGCACACCGGCGAGCAGCTCCTCCTCCGCCTCGAGCTTGCCGTGCCCGTAGCCGTCCGCCTTGTTGAGGCTCTCCATGACCTGAGAGGACTAGGAGACTGCATAAAAAACATTAACTTCCAGCGGTCCGCGCAGAGTTCTCGGATCGGCGCTGGATCCCCCTCCCTGGCGCGCGGAGCGCGCTAGGGGTGGCGCCGGAGGCGCCGCCAGGCTGGCCCCAGTGCCGGTCCAAGAAACCCGCGCGGACCTCCGAAAACTGATGTTAATATTTTGGTTTCTTCTTCTTTTTCTTCGATGACCTCCCTCTCCTCTGGCCGCGTGCCCATCTCCTCCGTCACGCGAAGAGGGCCGGAGCCGCCTGGGCGGGCCCCAGGCTTCCACTTCTCCCCAGCCCAGCGGCCCACCTCGTAGACAGAATCAGAGGAAATGTACGCGTAGATCCTGAAATCGGTCCGCAAGCCCTTGACGGAGGCGCGAATGTCAGAGCCGTCGTAGGCGGAGAAGTCGGCCACCAGGTCCCATTTTGTGCCCAGCCTAGGGGGCGGCGAGATCCATGAGTCCATATTCGCTGGGTCGCGGGGTGGGTCTGGTTGGACGCGAGAGGGACAACGGCAAAAACGACAACACCACTAATTTGAAGACTGTTCGCTCAGATCTGCTCGCGTGTCACGTATTTCAAGCCCTCGATACACGCCCCGATCGTCTTCGATCGTGCCCCCTTGGTGGTCTATCTATCGTGCGGTGGCCTCTCATTCAGGCAGACGAGCGAGACAGGAGCACGCACACACACGCAAGTAGCGAGGGAAGAGGGAGGCGTCGGGGGAGGGAGGAGCGAATGGGCAAGAGGGAAGGCGAGGCGCACGGGGACCTCGGGAGCGCTTGGTGAGTGCGCAGGAGGAGGAGGAGGCGGAGGAGGAGGAGGAGGAGAAGGAGGAGGAGGAGGAGGAGGAGAAGGGCGTCAGGAGGAGAAGGAGGATAGGAGAAGGCGGAGGAATAGGAGGAGGAGGGGGAGGAGGAGAAGGAGGAGGAGGAGGAGGAGGAGCAGGAGGATGAGGAGGATGAGGAGAAGGGCGTCAGGAGGAGAAGGAGGAATAGGAGAAGGCGGAGGAATAGGAGGAGGGAGGAGAAGGAGAGGAGGAGGAGGAGCAGGAGGAGGAGGAGGTAGGAGGAGGAGGAGGAGGAGGAGCAGGAGGAGGAGGAGGAGGAGGAGGAGGAGGAGAGGAGGAGGAGGAGGAGGAGGAGGAAGAGGAGAAGGAGGAGGAGGAGGAGGAGGCAGGAGGAGGAGAGGAGGAGGGGAGGAGGAGGAGGGAGGAGGAGGGGAGGAGGAGAAGGAGGAGGAGGAGGAGGAGGAGGGACTCAGGGGAGGGATGGAGCACGCCTGCGATCAAAAAGGGCGAACGGACGGCAGAGCCACACGGGCCCGGTCGCGCGGGCGGCCCCCCCGCTGCGGGCGCGTCGGGCGAGCGGGCCCCGCCGGCCGGGCCGAGCGGGCGGGCCGCGGAGGCGTCGGTCCTGCAGGGAGCGGGGGGGGGCTCTCGGGCCACAGCGCGGTTCCCAGACCCCCTCCTCCTCCCTCCTCCTCCTCCTCCTCCTCCTCCTCCTCCTCCTCCTCCTCCTCCTCCTCCTCCTCTCCCCCGAGTGCACCCTCGTGCTGGCTTCGTCTCATAGTTTGAAGCTCTGGTCTCCCCGAGGTGCACCCTCGTGCTGGCTTCCCAAACCCCCTCGAGTAATGACAAAAATCATGACGGACAATTTTCCGTTATCTTCGGCCTCCGGGGGCCCTCGCCGGGCCTCGAGAGCGTCAAGAAGCGACTCAGGATGCAGAGCCGGTCATGGGGAAAGGGTCGGGAACTCTGGGTGTCGACGTAACGAAAAAATCATTACGTCGGGGGTCTGGGGCCACAGCGCGATTCCCAGGCAGATCGCGAGGGGATCGACAGCGAGACACGATCCCTGAGCGTCGGAGGCGCGCCTTCTCAATACATCGGGCGGCAGCAGCATGCCAGAGCGCGATTCCTGCACACATTAGGAAAACGTCCCGCGCGAGAAGACGATTCCGAAGAGACTGTGGAGAAGTGTGGAAAGGGAACCGTCGTGGTTGACAACAACAGCGGCTTCCGCTTGATGCTTCCTCACAACTTATTTCAAGTTCGTGCTCTCGCCCGAGACTTCCTCAACATTATGCAGGAATCGCGCTCTCGCGTGGTACTTCCTCCCAATTATATTCGGGCGCCGCGCCTCCAACCCTTGGGGATTTCGCTCCCGCGCTGGATTTCCTTACGATCTACTTGGGAATCGCGCTGTCGCTCAAGATTTCCTCGCGATTCATGCAGGACTCACGCTTCAACGACCCGCCTGCTCGGCCTGGCCGCCTGGGCTCGCCTTCCCGACCCGCCTGTTCGGGTCTACCCGCCCGATCTGCCCGTCTGGTTCTGCCATGTTTTCTGCTCCTAGCCCTCCTCCTGCTAATCTTTCTCGTGCTCCATCCTTCTCCCCTCCCCTTCCATTCGTCTTTTCTTCCCCTGTTTTAAGGACTGTGCCAAGTACATGCGGCAGGTCGATAAGACACACACCCGATATGGGTACGATCGAAGACACTGAGGGCGGGTACCAGGATTTCGGGATAGACGTGTCGAGCTGCACGCGGACAGATAAGAGCGAACAGTCTTACACTGATTGTTGTGGTTGTTGTCGTCGTCGTCGTTGTTGTTGTGGTTGTTGTTGCTGTTGAATCTAAAGAAAATTAATGTTGATCCCTCCTCCGGTAACCAATCTACTTTTTAGTGTTTTTCCCGGGGTTGGTGCTCTGTTTGCACTGGGGAAAACGAACTGTCACCAAACTGTGTGTTTGGCCCCCGGTTTACAATCACAGCGGCTCCCGCCTGGGACCTCCTCACAATTTATTACCAAATCATACTCTCGCGCGGAACTTCCTCACAACTGATGCAGGAATCGCGCTCTCGCGTGGGACCTCCTCGCAATTTATTCAAATGCCGCGCCCTCGAGACTAAGGAATCACGATTTCGCTGTGGATTTCCTCATGATTTATTCGGGAATCGCGCTGTCGCTGGGACGCACGCTTCAGCAACCCGCTTGCTCGACCTGGCCACCTGGGCCCGCTTTCCCGACCCGCCTGTTAAGGTCTACCCGCCCGATCTGCCCGTGTGGTTCTGCCACTTGGTTTCAGCTCTTGGCCCCCCTCCTGCTACTCTCGTTGTCGTGCTCCATCCTTCTCCTTCCCCCTTGTTCCTTTCTTCAATCCGTCCTTTCTTCCCTCGCCCTAACAGCTGCACGAAATACGCGTGGCCGGTGAGGAACATATACCCCCAAAGGGGTACGATCGAAAACGAACAGGGCGGGTATCAAGAGCAGACAAAAGCGAACAAGCGAACAATCTTAAAACAATTGTTGTTGTTGTTGCTGCTGTTGTTGTGATTGTGGTTGTTGTTGCTGTTGTTGGTGTTGTTGTAGTCGTTGTTGTTGTTGCTGTTGTGGTTTTTGGTGTTGTTATTGTTGTTGTGATTGTTGTTGTTGCAGTTCTTGTTGTTGAGCTCTCACTACTGCATATTAATTGTTGTTGATCCCCTCATCCGGTGACCATTGTGTTGTTTCAATTGAAGTGCTTCCCCCGGGGCTCGCACCTTGTTTTTATCAAAGAAAAACTCAAACTCCGCCCCTGACCCACCTCCCGCCTGAGACTTCCTCACAATTTCGCCAGGACTCCCGCTCCCGCCTGAGACTTCCTCGCATTTTACTCAAGAGTCGCGCTCTCGCTTGGGACTCGCTTGGGACTTTCCTACCATGTATTCAGAGATCGCTCTCTCGGCGCTCTGGAGTCGCGCTCTCGACACTTCCTTGCAATGAAATCAAGAATCGCGCCCTTGCGTGGGAATTCTCAGCATTTTCCCTAAGCGCCGCGCTTCCGACACTCAGGCACCCAGGAATCGCGCTCACGCTTCGGACTCCCTCACAGCTTACTCAGAAATCGGAATCTCGCTGCTGTTCGAGGCTCCGCTGCAACCCTTCGTGGCCCCCTTCACTACCCTTCCTGACCCGTTGCAGCCCTTCGTGGCCCCCTCGCTGCCCTTCGTGGCCCTCTCGCTGCCCTTCGTGGCCCCATATATGTATGCCCTTCGTGGCCCCCCTCGCTGCCCTTCGTGGCCCCCTCGCAGCCCTTCGTGGCCCCCTCACTGCCCTGCGTGGCCCCGTTGCAGCCCTTCGTGGCCCCCCCTTTGCCCTTCGTGGCCCCGTTGCACCCCTTCGTGGCCGCCTCGCTGCCCTCTGTGGCCCCGCTGCAGCCTTTCGTGGCCCCCTCGATGCCCTTCGTGGCCCCGTAATATATGTATGCCCTTCGTTGCCCCGCCCGTTCGCGCCCGTCGTGGCCCCATATGCGCGCGCATCGTGGCCCGCCGTCGCCCTTCGTGGCCCCCTCGCTGCCCTTCGTGGCCCCGTTGGTGCCCTCAGTGGCCCCGTCCTTGCCCTCTGCGGCCCCAAATGCGCATGACCTTTCGTGGCCCCCGCTCGTTCGCGCCCGTCGTGGCCCCATATGCGTGCGCTTCGTGGCCCCGCTGTCGTCCTTTGTGGGTCCCTCGCTGTCCTGTGTGGCCCCGTTGCTGCCCTCAGTGGCCCCGTCGTTACCCTCTGTGGCCCCGCATGATCTGCCCTTCGTGGCCCCCGCTCGTTCGCGCCCTTCGTGGCCCCGTACGCATGCCCTTCGTGGCCCTGCTGTCGCCCTGCGTGGGCCGCCTTCCTGCCCTTAGTGGCCACGCTGTCGCTCTCGCTCTCGCTCTCGCTCTCGCTCTCGCTCGTCGTCGTCGTCGTCGTCGTTCCTCTGTCCGTCCCTCTTGGGGTCGGGTTGCCGCCGATCAGCGCTGCCGCTGGCCAGGCCGACGGTCCGCGGCCGCCCCGCCGCTTGCCGGGGCCCGACCTGCAGGGAAGAAACATATACCTCCCAAAAAAGGTTCGATCGAAAAGGAAGAGGGCGGGTATCGAGGGTTTGGGAAATATGCGTAGGATGCCACTCGAGCAGGTAAGAGCGAACAGTCTTAAATTGATTGTTGTTGTTGTGGTTGTTGTTGTGCTTCCATGTCTAAACACAATGATGTTTGATCTCCCCTCTGGTGGCCAGTGTGTTTTTCGATTCAAATGCTCATCCTGGGGCTCGCATTCGTTTTTTCAAGGGAAGGGGTGGTGCCACCAAACTGCGTTGTTGGCCCCGAGTTACAACAACAATGGCTGATACTTCCCCACAAGTTATTTCGCAATCGCGCTCTCGCGCGGGACTTCCTCAAGATTTATGCAGAAGTCGCGCTGTCGCCTTGGAATTCGTTGAAATCAATTGAAGCGCTACGCCCTCGACGCTCAAGAATCGCTCTCTCGCTCTGGCTTTTCTCGCGATGTACTTGGGAACCGCGCTATCGCTCGAGACCTCCTCCCGATTCATGCTGTACTCAAGGTTCAACAACCCGCTGTCTCGACATAGCCATTTGGGCGCGCCTTTCCAGCGCGCCCGTTAGGAACTACCCGGCTGATTGGCCCGTCTGGTTCTGCCACGTGCTTTCTGCTCCTAACCCTCCTCCTGCTAACCTCACCCGTGCTCCATCCTTCTCCCGCCCCGTTCCATCCGTCCTCTCTTCCCTTGCTTTAGGGGCCGCACCACAATCTTAAACTGATTGTTGTTTAATTCTCACATCTAACACATAATTATTGCTGATCCCCCCTTCCAGCGACCGTTGTCTTTCCCAACCATCCTGTGGTGTTGGTCCTCGTTTTGAAGAGACAGCGCCCCGCGTTCCAGCCTTCCTCCTCCTCCTCTCCTCCTCCTCCTCCTCCTCCTCCTCCTCCTCCTCCTCCTCCTGTCACCCCGTTCACTTTTGCACACCCCTCACACGTTTCACAGCATCGACCTTGCAGACGTGCTGCAGCGGATTTTCGCATGGATTTCTGCCAATACAAAAC